TATTGTTTATTCTTTTCGCCTAATGTGCTCATGGACATTTAACAATTAACACATTGCTTTGTCCTAATTAGAGTATCACAATTCCAAAAGTGATAATTCAAATGCTTATTTTTCCATTATACAGTTCTGCTTAAATTTTTTTAGGAAAAACATTTGAAGCGTCCCTCACATTTTGTCAAATAAAATTTTTTGTCCTTCACTTACAATTCCGCACAAATTTTTGTTTTGGAAAAAATATTTAAAACGTCCCTTACATTTTGTTAAATAAAAATTTTCATCCTTCACTTTAAAGATGCTAATTTTATATTCCTTAAAAATTTAAATTGGCAAAATTTAGTCCCAACCTAACTTTTTGACCATTTTTAGTCTAAAATCACCATGTGACATATACATAGTAGTTTTTTGTACAAAAAAGAAAGATTGTATTTTTGTAGTGGTAAAAATAAATATGAATTGGGCTAGATTTCATTTTTTATGGGACAATAAATATGATTCAGGTGAGTTCCTACTTTTTAGGAATAAAAAATAATACGAATTAGGTTATTTGTTAAACTACAATCGGGATCTAACTTTTTTGCTCAAGAAAAAAAAATTATGTACGGGTCACGTAATGGGTTCAGGGCAAAAAGTGGTTAAAAATTTAGGTTGGGACCAAATCTTACATTTGTAAAAGATGTAAAGTTACCAATTTAAAAGCGAAAACCGAAAAAATTCATTTGGTTAAATGTGAGAGATTTTTTCAACATTTTTGTTTGGTTCAAACCAAAAAACTTGCAGAGTAGGACTTCAACAACCCATTTACGGGGTTTGCAAAGAAAAAGAAAAAGAATAGAACTTTAATAAATTGATATATTTCACTCTACTTCAAATTAAAGGACCCACGTAACAATATATGCATATAGAGACCCTATTCACGCTGTCAACCCCTTTCAACCCCGCCATTTTCATAAGCTGGTCTATATAAAGAGAGGTGTTTACCTTTGGTTTCTCTCCTCATTTCACATCTGATCTTCAAATAGCGGTATTAACAGGTAATCAAACTCATTTTATTTGAAATTTAGTTTAGATTTTTTACTAAAAATTTCTATACTAATTCAGTGGTAAGAAGAAGAAAGGTAGTTGTTTGAATTGCTAATCTTGCTTTCAATTTATGATTTTTTTAAAATTTAACTTAATAATTTGAATTGTTAATTTCAACTATTTAAGTAAACAACTTATGAGTTTTTTAAAATTTAACTTAATCATATGAAAGTTCTATTTAAGAGATTAATTTCGAATACTATTAATGGTTATACATGTTTGTAACTCTCAAAGTTTCCGCATCAGCAATCTTTGATATTTTCCTCCATTATAATTCTCCTTTCAACCAATTATAATGGGACATTCTAATTCTCCTTTGAATCAACCAAAGTGGGACAGATCAAAGATTTTAGTCTGGGAGCAAACAACCATATGTACATACAAGTTGGGAGCAAGTAACCATATACATATAATTTCTCAATGGGTTTGTAACTCTACACCATTTTGTTTTTATAAATTGACTAAACTTTTGGAGCCATACGATTTGGCAAAGATATACAACACATTATATAAAGGGTTAATTCCACTTTGTCCCCCCAAACTTTGGACGATTATCCACTTAAATCCCTAAACTTCAAAATGGGACACTTAAGTCCCTAAACTTATAAATACCTCCCACTTAAGTCCCTGAACTTATAAAATGGGACACTTAAATCCCTAAACCCTTATAAAATGGGACACTTCGACCACCAATGACATTCAGGATTTGTTAATAAATTTCCTTAAGTGGGAGGTATTTATAAGTTTAGGGACTTAAGTGTCCCATTTTGAAGTTTAGGGACTTAAGTGGGTAATCGTCCAAAGTTTGGGGGGACAAAGTGGAATTAACCCCATTATAAAATGTGTTTTGATTCTAGAAGATTTCTTAATTTCCAGTATCTTTCAATCCAAGATGGGACACGGGAAATATTTAACAACGTTGGTAATTGTTAATTACTTGTCTCTCTAGCATCTCTAGGTTTATGCAAGTATGTAAGTGCCCGGTGCAACCCAATGAGTACAAACAAATTCACAATGATGCACAAAGATATATCAAATTTAAGCACAATAAAGAAAACTTAATTAAAGAGAAAGGATAAGAAATGCAAACCAAATATCAAACCAATAGCCTCTTCAATTGATGGCGATGCTAACCAAGATGTACAAGTGAAGGCTCACTCCTTCCTCACCCCAAACACACTTTGGTTGAGCCAAGGAGTTTTACAACAATTCTAGTTAACCCTCAACAGCCTACACTTGAAAGATCACTCACCCAATTAAGAACTATTTTATACAAATGAGGCAACCTTCACCAAGGTTTTACCACTTCAAGTGATAGGTTCACCTTCACCAAGGTTTTACTCCTCCTAGAGAATAACCTTCACTTGAGCAACCTCACAACCCAACTTCCCCAACCCCTTATACAACCAACAAAGAATCTTTCTACTCAAAAATCTCACTTGTAAGCTTGTATTTTGTGTTGGCAAAAGTCTTTTGTCTTCTTGTGCTTTGGGGTGTTTATAGAAGGTGAGAAATGGCTCCAAAAGGCTCTCCAACGGTCAAATATTAAATGCTGTCAAAACTAGCCGTTGGCCTGTCGGACGTCCGAACCACCTGTCGAACGTCCGAACCCTGCGTCCAAACCACCTGTCGGACGTCCGAACCCTGCGTCCGAACGTCGTCAGAGAGTCATCAAATCTTTGCGAAATTTCTCGGACGTCCGATGCGATCGATGTGCGTCCGATGCGTGCGTCCGATCCTTCCGGACGTCCGATGCTTCCTCACGAGCGTCCGACAGAGTTTCCTTCTTGATGTTCTTCATCCTTTCGGACGTCCGATAGCTTCCTTTCGGACGTCCCACATGAGTGCCCTGTTTTTGCTTCTTCTTTTGTGCCACAAGAATCTGTTCTAACAAATTGCTCACATAAAAACATTAGCCCAAATCTACATTTTAGTTTGTTAATCATCAAAACCAAGGATTGATCGACCAAGGTCAACAATCTCCCCCTTTTTGATGATGACAAACAAAATGAAGATTTCTTTGATCAAATAAGTTCAAATAAAACTCCCCCTTAGAAAATGCCAACATACAAAGAAATTTCAACATAAATCCTAAATATCTTTAGCTGATTTACAACCTTTAATCCTACTAGATTCATTTACATCTAATGCATTGTACAATATACACATGGCCTTGGCATTCAAAGAAAGGTATCTCTTGTCTTTTTCATTCAATTCTTGTCTAGTCTTTAATCTACTCAAATTGGTGGTAGAGTCAACTATTCTAGTTTCATAAGGACCATCTTCTACCACATACCATAATTCAATATAAACGGATTGTAAGAAAATCATCATTCTTTGTTTCCACATGCTAAAATGAGAACCATTAAACATAGGTGGTCTATCAATAGATTGCCCTTCTAAAAAGGAAACTTTTATGGTTGCCATGATCTTTACTCCAAGCCGATTGAGCTTGTCTCAAGGAGACCAAGCTCTGATACCAATTGTAAGTGCCCGGTGCAACCCAATGAGTACAAACAAATTCACAATGATGCACAAAGATATATCAAATTTAAGCACAATAAAGAAAACTTAATTAAAGAGAAAGGATAAGAAATGCAAACCAAATATCAAACCAATAGCCTCTTCAATTGATGGCGATGCTAACCAAGATGTACAAGTGAAGGCTCACTCCTTCCTCACCCCAAACACACTTTGGTTGAGCCAAGGAGTTTTACAACAATTCTAGTTAACCCTCAACAACCTACACTTGAAAGATCACTCACCCAATTAAGAACTATTTTATACAAATGAGGCAACCTTCACCAAGGTTTTACCACTTCAAGTGATAGGTTCACCTTCACCAAGGTTTTACTCCTCCTAGAGAATAACCTTCACTTGAGCAACCTCACAACCCAACTTCCCCAACCCCTTATACAACCAACAAAGAATCTTTCTACTCAAAAATCTCACTTGTAAGCTTGTATTTTGTGTTGGCAAAAGTCTCTTGTCTTCTTGTGCTTTGGGGTATTTATAGAAGGTGAGAAATGGCTTCAAAAGGCTCTCTAACGGTCAAATATTAAATGCTGTCAAAACTAGCCGTTGGCCTGTCGGACGTCCGAACCACCTGTCGGACGTCCGAACCCTGCGTCCAAACCACCTGTCGGACGTCCGAACCCTGCGTCCGAACGTCGTCAGAGAGTCATCAAATCTTCGCGAAATTTCTCGGACGTCCGATGCGATCGATGTGCGTCCGAGGCGTGCGTCCGATCCTTCCGAACGTCCGATGCTTCCTCACGAGCGTCCGACAGAGTTTCCTTCTTGATGTTTTTCATCCTTTCGGACGTCCGATAGCTTCCTTTCGGACGTCCCACATGAGTGCCCTGTTTTTGTTTCTTCTTTTGTGCCACAAGAATCTGTTCTAACAAATTGCTCATATAAAAACATTAGCCCAAATCTACATTTTAGTTTGTTAATCATCAAAACCAAGGATTGATCGACCAAGGTCAACAAAGTATCATCACAGATATTTAAAAAAAAAAAAAAAAAATTTATAGTATCATCACAGTTATTCACGTGAAGGATCATTTTTACCCCATATTTAAAGAGGAGATTTGTATCATATCATAAATTGTGAATTGAGATCTAAGCAAGAACGCAATCAAATAACAAAAGGGAAAAAAAAGAAAAAGAAAAACACAAATACTGGAAAAAGAAAAGAAAAAGAATCTAGAACAGAAATTGATTATCTTTTGAATTCCAGTGCCATTAGCAAACATCACAAGAATCTAGCAGTGGAATGCTGCATTAGCAGCTATAAACCTATAACCTTCCTGATTATGAACCAAAATGTGCCCTCACACAAAGCATGATAAACATAAAAATAATAGTCTAATTATCCATTCTCAAGCAGGAGCGACTGTAAGGAATTGGAACCGAGATCAGATCATTTGTTTCCGCCTCATTGTCACCCCAAATTTCTCAGTCATGTCCAGTTCTTCTTGGTTCAGTTTACCAGGCAGCTTCAAATCAAAATGGAACAACAATTGTGCAAGCATAAACTCAATGCTTTGTAGAGCAAATGATATTCCAGGACAGATCCTTCTTCTTCCAGCACCAAATGGGATATGTTCAAAATGCATGGTTTCCTTATAATCTATTTTAGAGTCAATAAACCGCCCTGGATTAAGTTTCTCAGCCTCAACCCTGTGCCTGGGGTCCCTTCCAATTGCCCAAAGATTAGTGATTGCTCTAGCCTTGGCTGGTATTGATTTTACATTGCTCGCCACATTCTTTTGAAACTGCTAATGGAACACTACTACTAGGGTGTAATCTCAAGGTTTTTTTGATGATTGCATGCAAGTACTTTAGCTCATGAAGGCCTTATTCATCTACGTTTTCTTTCTCCTGATCAAAGACATTTCTTACCTCATCTTGTGCCCTTTTGATGACTTCTGGGGGTTTAATCAATTCAGAAATTGCCCACTCTAAAAAACCACAGATGCAACATACCTACATTTTAATTATTCATATAATATAGCAACATAAAAAAAAACCTATAAAATATCTATTATCATGTTGTTAAATTGTAGATGAACATTTGATGACTTTAAATTAAATCCATAAATTAGACCTACTTGACAAAACATAAAAATTAAGACTCTAACCGAAATTTAAGAAATGTGTGATGACATTTATAGTTGTCTTATTGATTGTGATTTAAAAATGTGCAATGTGTAATTTAAAAAATTTATGTCCACTTATTGATTGTAATTTTAGTATGAACATAGAATTTAATCTCTATTTTTAAGAATGTTAGAGCAATGGTGATGGTAGTGGTGGGCTACATTAGGCAATAATTAACAATTAGTAGGTTTTGAGGTGAGTTGGAGTCGTTGGACTGTGTTTGCTTTGTTGGTTTGCTATGTGCAAGAAGTTAAAGATTAAAAATTTTATTCTTTTTTTGTAAAAAGTACATGTCATTGGGCCAATATTGTTATGTAAACCTAAAAAGTGAGTGAGGCATGTGTAATTTTGAAACTTGAGGGAAGCTCCTTGAAATTGCCGGAAACCTCAAGGGAGGTTTCTGAAATCGCCCCATACAATAATGCAGTGCAAGAATAATCCTTAGATTAAAAATTATCTCCTTCCTATATACTAGCTAGGAAGGAAAAAAGAGATTTTGAGTTTGTACTTCACTCGCAAAGATTACGGCTTTGCTGTTCGTGTCGGTCAATTGAGGTTCAAAGTCCCCACGTTGTTGAATTTTAAGAAGCACATCAACATGATCCTCTTATGCTTCTCCACTTTCCTGTTTTCCCTCTCTGTGCTTCTCTTTATGCTGCATCAAAATCTTTTCATGTATTTCATCACCCTGTTTTTGCACAAGCTCCAGCGTATAGCGCATGATACTCATGACTTGTAGTACTTTGACAGAGGGAAACATATCAGCCAAGCTGAAACCATTTGAATACTTATTCATTTTCTCTATAAGTTGAACATATCTTTCTGTATCTTCATTTCTTTTTCCCAAATGCAATACGCAGCCACGGATTTAAGGGGGGGCTGGTGGGGGCTTAAGCCCCCCCCCAAGCCGCCGGAAAACCCCCTAATACAGGGGATTCCGGCGGCCAGCCCAGCCCAGCCCACTATCTATGCGATCAGATGATATCTTTCTTTGGGGTTTATGGAAATATCTTTCTTTGGGGGTTTATTTGGAGTCAGGTGATCTTTACATCGATTACTAACTTTGTTCTTTGGACCGTTGTTGATGGTAGATGATGGATGGGTACGACCTGTCCATTGGAGGACCTTTGTTTGCAAATTAGTTTTAGTTCAAGGACATTAATGCAATTTAGCTAAAGTATCTAATTCTAAAGATGACATTAATACCCCAATCCAAATCCTCCTGGAACTGTCTGATTCTAAATCCCATTTAATATATATTTTCTGCACAACAGGAGCCCATACAAGAGTGAATGAGAGTGCCAGCTGAGAGCATTACTAAAGCATTTCTGCTAATACATGTTTATTGAGCTAAGGCTAAGGAGCTGTTTCTCATATGCTTTAGCTTTTTCAAAGCAGCTTAAAAAGTGTTTCTCAGAAAGCAGATTTAGATTAAAACTGCATTTCTTTTATAAAAATTTTGAAAAGAGAAAATTGTATTGCAAATGGACCTCCAAGGTTCCATTCCGCAATTGACTTTTCCAACTTTAAGCTCAGTTAAGAGTAAAGGTAAAATGAAACTAGCAGGACTAAATATATTTTGACTCACAAAAAAGCGAATATTTTTGCAACAATTGAAAATGAGCAAATATTGCAGCGTTTTCAACGGATGAAGACTCGCAGAATGCAATTGCCTCCTCTTCGTTATTCGAGTGCAACAACTACCAATACTTCAAGTGTTAATCAATAACAAATTTTTGGGTATGTATAATTATATGTTTTTATTATTTTTATAATTATTGATTCTAAATTTTACTTATTAAATATATTTATTTCGTCACACAAAAAAATTTTTAATACACTTCAGCCCCCCCAAAAATAAATTTCTGGCTCCGTCCCTGGCAATACGTCCCGTTATCCAATATTTTCAGTCCTAGCAAACGGACCCTTAGAGTATTCAAATCCCTTGCACTGCATGGCCTTGCTACTAGGTTAACATAAATGATAGATTGCCAAGAAAACTCAGGCTTCAATGCTTGGTTTTTCTCTCTTTAGCCTTCTTTGGACCTGACTCTCACACTCTTGGTGCTGATTTTCGCAATACTCGTCTCGGAAAAGTTAATAATATAGAGGACTTACAGAAGAAGAAGAATACAACAGAGAAGAGTTTTTGGGAACCTGATTGATTTCATTCTTGTTTTGGATTAATTGAAGAGAGAGATTGTGATGAAAGATTCGATGATTTATACGCATTGTTTGATTATACTACCTTTGGTTTCAGGCATTCTTCTGCACCTGTGGTTGTAATTCGGTGATACAGTAAGCAAAACCTCAATATCGTCATATTCTTCTGCTTGTTATTTGTTGTTGAAGGGTATAAACCATATAATTATATCACATTTAGTTTAGGATCTAAAGATAACCTTTTTGGCTTGCATGTTACAGATCAAACTAATCAACAGGCAGTACTATTCCTCACACGCTTTGTTCACAACTACTCAATTTTGTGCGATCAAAATGCAGCTGGAAAGTAAGGTATATGGTGCTTTAGCTTTATTGTTCTTGAATACCTGATTTCCAATTACTCCAGACTCAAGAAACAAACTCCAATGATGCTGTGTTCCTGCAATGCTGCTGAGTTCATTTCTTCTATCCTTTTTTTTTGGGGGGGGGGGGGGTAGAGAATGGAGTGTGAAATATTTGCAAGAACAAGTTAACTGGGTCTCTCCCAGTTACCCCTAAAATGTCTGCAAAAATCAAAGGACCTAATCCAACGGGTGATTAACTGCCAAAAATTCAAAGGTGTTCTGGATTCGACACCTAAATTTGCTAAGAAATCTGCACAAATGTCCCCCCCCCCCTCCTCGCCCCTCTTTTTTCCCTCCTCAAATGTTTGTCGAAATCGGACTTGAATTCCCTACCAGCAAGTCTTACAGTTAGCTATTAAAGCTCAAAGACGAGGCGCTGCACATTTGATGTTCTGAACAAGTGAGAATTATTTCAACGTGATTGTACTCTCAATCTTGGTGCCATTGGAGCAAAGCAAGTGAACAAATTATAATTAGAATATCTGAGGCACTCAACGAAGAACTCAGCAGGGTTTTGAGCAGTGCAGGAGTCTTTGAATTTGCCAAAGCTCATGGTTCATCTTCACATTCTACCCACCAAATCTTTCTCCTGCAGCAAGGAGGGAGGTTTTAGTCATCCGGCAACTAATTCTTCTGCTGCACAGACAACGTCGCCTCTTAAAGCAACCCACTGAATCTCAGATGTCTTTACTATAATTAATGCCATCCAGAAAACCCCTTCTCACTTCTGAGAGAATTTATTGAGGTGAAACACAAGCACTGCAACCGTGCAACTGCTATTAAAGGTTCAGAACTGTGCCCGATCCGGCTGTCCCATAACAGCTGAGCCCTCATCCTTGACACCAAGTCCACAAACCCCACGACTATAAACACCAAGACTACCTCTGCAATAGTATCGGCCATAATATTAAGGTCTCTTCAACTTTAAGATCGGAGATAAAGGTACAAAGCCAGCACAATTCCCTTCTCATATATGATCATTACCAGTGACCATTGCTGCCAAGTCTGTAACCATAGAGCACTTCTTTATGACCACAAGAGTGCGCGCACACAAATACGCTCAGATGTAAATGAAGTTTATAGATAAGCAGCAGATTAAAGTAAATTGGTTGCTACACTATAGAGCACTTCTTTATGACCACAACTACAGTTTATGCGCACACACAAATACACTGAGATGTAAATGAAGTTATAGATAAGCAGCAGATTCAAGTAAATTTGTTGCTACACTTACTATAAAAAGATATTTTACATATCCTATTTAGCTTGCGCTTTAATAATTTAACAACAAAAAAGAAACATCCTAACATCCTCCTGAAGCTGTATACAGTTGAGTTTAAAAGGAAATAAGTTTCCAAGGCCTAAAAGAATCCAAAATCCAGGGACAGAGTTTGATCCTAGATATTACATGTACTTGACAACAGAGATTTGTCAACATGCTGATTTAAGAGAAACCTGCTTCCATTTCATTTCTCGCCATTCTAACTCCACCAGAAGCTACTGATTTGCCCCAATTTTCTGGATGGTCAAACTTGCAAGCAGGACCAAACTTGCAAATGCCATAACGGTTGTAAAACGAGCAGATTGATTGATCCTAAATCACAAGGGAAAAACAGTAGAAGGATCAGATGGAAACCACATCTATTCCAAACATAATTCATATCAAGAGACATCCTTGCAAGAAAGTTAAAACAACCCTCCAAATAATGCTGGAGGAGGATTAATCTAAGAAAAAAAAGAAAGAAAACCAAGCATGGACATTATTACAGGAAGTAAGCAATTAATCCTCTTGTTTATGCTTAATTTAAAAGAATATAATTTAGACCTCACATTATTAAGGGAGAATCTGTAAGTTGTATCATTATTTTGCTTGTCCTACGACTTACAGGTCTCAGAGGCAAACCCTTATCGCTAAGAGCACATGATGTTGACTTGGAACTTTGAAACTTAGGATGGTTAAATCTGCAATTAGCTTTGTATTTACAGTCTCCAGTTTTCAAGAAATAACTGCAGTCAGGCTGACCAGGTCGCTGAGGATATTCATCAACTGGCATTTGCTGTTGGAGCGGTGCATAGAAATTGGTCTCAGATACTGGGTTGTTCATTGCAAATGCTGGAGGTGTGGGTAAACTCCTCTCCGATGTTGGGTAGACCGTAGCCTTAGTCAATGGAAAGGAAACAATCATACAAAGCAGACCATTATACAAGTTTCAGTGAGTCAAGAACACCAACTTTCAAGGAAAAAATTGCTGATACATCTGTTATTTGCTACACAAGAACAATGGTGCCAGAGAGCTAAAACTAAATATAAAAACCTTGGAGCTTCATAGGCAGTAACAAGCATACAGCAGCTTATATTTACAATGGAAATACTTCTCCATGCAATAATTAACACCTTCACCTTACCAACTACATAATGAAAGTCATGAATCTATTGACTGTTTTCTCTCTCTGTTTTATGTATTTATTTATTTTTTTGTTGGTTGCATGTTCATAATCTGAGGTTTCATAGTGTTTCAAACAAAAATTGAGATTTATTTCCTCTCTGCAAATTGAGCTCAATAATTTTCTCTTACCTCTCTCCACATTGATCCCTAATTGTTTGAAATGTTTCTGCAAACCCTTTTATTTAAGGATGGATTTCTCTTTTCATGCCATGGGAACATTTTTTATAAGAGATCATGATACATTAGGAGTAAATCCACTTCAATAGCACTATTTCTCGCATATGCATGCATACCATAAAAAAAAAAAGGAACAACAAAGCAGTTAAAGATAAATTTGTATGCAGTGGTATTAACATGGGAATGAGAGCCTATTGTCAATTTTCAAAAGAGATACAGAGAACAACAATCATTGTTAACTTCAATTAACTTCAAAGTCCTGAAAAAAAAAAAACACAGCCTCTGAAGATCTTCATCACAGTAAAGGTGAGTAAAAAGATTGTCCGCCGTGGCACAAAAAGATAAGAATTAGTTTCTTCATCTCAATTATAACTAAGAATGCACTTGTTCACTACACTATTACCTCATATGTTAAACCTTACACATTGACAAGCACAAATTGGAGACAGAGACGGCAAGATTTTCAAATGCATCAGTGACATCTAATTTATCAGATGAAATTCATATATGGTGTTCAACAAGCAAAGATAACACCATCTGTCAGATACCACCCACAATTTGAACATCAGATGGACATTCAACAAATGAATCTTACAATAAATGTCATCAAGCAGACAAATGCAGTGTAAAATAGAGAAGTGATGTCAGAAACAAACTACCTGATACCCATTCCATTCAGCATTTGAAGGCATGCCTTGGGCTGGTGGAAATATCATTGATGCTGAAGACCAGGATGAGGCACTTGTCTGGGCAGCACCATGCAATTGAGCAGATCCACCAGCAACAAAACCCGAAGCATGGTCGTTTCCTGCTACAGAAGTAGGATCAGGATGGTTAAACTTGCAATTTGATCCATACTTGCAGGAGCCAGTACGCATGTAGTAGGGGCACTCTTTTTCTCCCTGCTTCAAATGCAATAACAATGAATATCCAATAAATCTGGATAAACTACATAAACAAACTTTTGAAATGAAAATCCCTGATACCGGTCGAATGGGAAGGCCTAGAAAGTTAAACTCTACAACGGGTGCCAGTGCACTTTTCTCCCTGCTATGATTGTACTTGCAAGCACTACCAAATTTACACCCGCCTGAAGTCAGGTAATACTGCAAGCAAACACCCAAAAAGACAATGAATCAAGATACAACTTTTCCTACAGTACTGAAGCTTGAGTAACATATTAGTATGCCTACCAAATAAATGAATTGTCACAATGACCAGTAAAATTGAGCACTCAGGATCAATGTTCTTCTCAAATATAAATCAAACCATTTAGGAAAATAAGACAAAACAACAATAAATTAGTCAGACCTCCACTAAACATCGTGCAAAAAATTAAAAAAAAAAAACATATAAAATGATTAAAGGCAGAGGAGCTTAATCAACTAAGAAAACTTCAATATGCTACTTCACATAATTGAAGCAAATTGAATAGAGTTTACTGCATATGATGCAAAAGAGATCGGATACCAGGCTTCAATCTTCTTTGGAGAAAACATATGTTAGGTTGAAGTTTTTAAAGAATAAGCACACCAAAAGAAAGCTGGGTAGCACCCAACTTTGTTTACAACGTTGTGTTCAATCCATTCACCTACCTCCACTTGGACAAAAGGAAGGGAAAAAAAAAAAACAAAAGAAACTTACAAAAAAAAACTGCATTAAAATGAAGAATGTAGCCTTAAACATGGCACAATAATAGCATGTACAGCCTCAATAGCCTCAAATACGCACGATTTCAGATAAGGTTCCTTACTATTTTTAAACAGAACATAGCCATGCAATATAATTTTTTTTGCGTGACAGAAATACTCACAAAGCAACAAAAAACGAAGACAAAGAAAAGAAAGATATGATAGATTATCATATTAATCAATCATGTGACATTTTAAAAAAAAAATCTGTCATATCTGACTATTTATCCACAACCAAAAAAAAAAGTAACTCGTAGCATAATGGAGTTTTATTTAAGTTAGTGGCTCCAAGAAGCCAAGAAAGCGTCATAATGGAGTAACAAGTGTCTGTAAAATAATATATCTTTTTGTCTAAGAGTATACAACTTGATCATATGAATCAATTCTTATATCTGATGCATGATATATTTTTTAATACACGTTAATAAATCTACGCTCACTTCTGTTGTATTTCAATGATTGTCCTCAAAAGATAACCCAGTTAAAATGAAATGAAAGTGATTTTCACTTGCTCTGGAAATCACATTTGAAATTCAAGCAATAGTGCTTTGCATTTGACCTTTCATCTTAGATTTCACATAGTCAAGATAACAAGAGCATGCCAACATAGCAGTAAGCCACAACAACAACAGAAGAAATATCTAAGTTACAACAAACAACAATAACCTTGCATTCAGTCTGTCCTAGCCGTTCTGAGTCTTCTACCCTTGGCTTTGCTTTGTCCCTAGTACCCTGCCAAAAATAAGCTGCAGAAGTAAGAAAGAAAGAAAATCAAAGCATAGCTGCATCATCTCAAGTAAATAAAAGATGACATTTTCTTTAACTTGGGCTAAAGACATTTTCTTTGTCTTGTGCTAAAGGTTGTACGATCTCATATTTTCCATATTAATCCTTTTTCCTTTTGCAATTCTGAATTTAACTTAGCAATCAGAAATATGCCTCTCATTCCAGAGTCATAATGAATGCCACAAATTAGTGGTCCAATTCTAGCAGGAAAGTAACTACCAAAAGCAAGAATTGACCATAGTAATAAACACAACACACCATCCCCTACAATACATTTAATTTCAATGACACGATCAATGCCAATAGCTGCCAAAGACAATCAACTGGAGAAAACACATTTTATTGACACTTGCAAAAAATAAGGCAGACATTTCCAAAAAACAAACCATGAGTGGGTAGCATAATGCTAAATTGACATATGTCTGAAACAACTAATGCATTGACAGTAGGCAATATTCCCGGATGTCTAGCAACAACCACAAACTTCCCTTGAATTGAACATACACAATTGCATCAATGCTTGAGCCTGCCCCCCTTCGCCAGCACAAATTAATACCAAATGCTTTCCTTTTCCCCAGAGAGAGTGATCAAGCGAGTAAAAAATCACAAAAAAGAACCAACAAATTACAGTTCCAAACCATGACAAAGAATTCCTTACTACCAGTAATTATAAATCTCGCGAAGCACAACACAACCAGCATTACTGTAAGAATTGGACAAAACCCAACCCTTACAATTACTTTCAACAAACACAAACCAAAACCTTTTTCTCAAATGCAGTTGATTTCAGTAATTATACCGGGCAATCAATGACAAGACAAGATACACAATCAATCAACTAAATAATCAATTCACTTGAGATGGATAGACCCAAATCAACCGAGCTAAAACCACTCAATAAGCATCCTACTAAAAAACCAACGGGATATATGCGTAACATTTTTTTTTTATCACTAAGCTTTACCTGATTCCTCCTTTTCGGAGGATGATTAAACTTGCAATTCATTCCAAATTTACAGCTCCCTGTTTTCATGTAATAGGCGCAATCCTCAGCGTCTAGCCTCAACGGATACTCAAACCTCCTATTGTAAGTCCTATCACCACTGTACCCACTAGCTTCTTCAGTCCCATAATTTTCCTCCCCTTCCACCTCACCCCCAACCTCATCATTCCCATATCTCCCCTGGAATAATTCATCAACATCCACACCTCTACCCCTCAGCACATCACTCCCACCTTCCCAAAACTCCTCCCCATTCGTTCCCATCCCCAAACCCACCTCTACCTCCCCGTTCCTATCCTCCCCCAAAGCTAAATTCATCACGGCTTCATTCAATGCCTCTTTATAAATCACTTGATGAATCTCTTCATCCAGGGTCTTCCGCAAAATCCCATCTTCATCCAGCCCATTTTGACCATCGATTTCATCCCCAGCTCCGGACCCTCCTTTGCTCTCCACCGGCAGCATTTGCGGCTTCAATTCCGCACCGATCACCGTCAAATGATGATCGGAGGAAGAAACCGGCGTCGTTTCCGGTTCGGACGACTGAGGTTTAACAAGCCCTCGTTCAGCAGATTGGGGGTTTTGAGGCGCGACGCCGTTTTGGGGGTTCTGATGCTCTGAACACTGAAAATGTTGTTTCTCCTCAGAAGGTTTCGATTCCATTGTGGTTGATGCCCCACCGCCCATTACATTTGATTTTTAATTGATTTTTTTTTTTTTTTTTTTTTTTTTTTTTGCAGAGTTTAAGGAAAATAAACCCTACTATTTATACTGGAGAGGAGAGTTGAGGGAATCTCGTCAAAGGCAAAAGTTGAAAGCCTTAAAAGGGCTTTTAGTGTAGGGAGCAATTCACATGAAAAGTGGTACAGTTGGAAAGTACAGTGGGAAATGAAAATGGAATCAAATTAGGAAAGTATAGTGGGAAATGAAGAAAATGGAACCAAATTAGTACTAATTGCTTTGAAACAACAAACATGAATGTAAGAAGACAAAACCATGAAAGATGTTGACCCCAAAAAATGAAAAAAAAAAACCTCAACTTGATTGCTTTGAAGATAATGACCCGTGTCACGTCTACAACATGTTATATATTCTTTCCGTCCCATTGAAAGTATCATACTTTTCATTTTGGAATGTTCCAAAACATTTATCATGTTGAAAAAGTCAAAACACCTTTTAATCTCTCTTTCCAATATGACCCTTCTTTCTTCTAATATGTTACCATTTAAATTTAAATTTTGAATTTATAGAGGTAAAATTGAAAAAAAAAAATATAAAAATTACAATCAAATCTCTATTGTTAAATGGTTGGAGTCACCAAATATGACTAAATAATTGCAACAGAAGGAGTACTACATCAATTTGAAGAAGGTTAAAGGGTAATTGTGGTTGTATTATACATTTCGAAATATTTCAAAAAAATTTTTTTTTTTATCGAATCACAAAAGTTACACACACATCAGAGCAATTCTACTTTGAAGCACGTTACAAGGAGTTAATTTTAGTATTTTGAGTCTTTTTTTATTAATATTTTAAAAAATGATTGATAGTGATATCCCACTTACTTTTTGACGACTCAATCCGCGACCTTTTATGTTTTTTTTTTTTTTTTTTTTTTTTTTTTGGGGAAAGGAGGGTTGTCTTTTAAAGAAATATGAAGTTCCTTGCCACCGGCTAATTTGTATAATTTTTATGCTGTGTGTGAACAAGAAAAACTATTCTTAAATTGACTGCATTGACCGGTCAATTGATTTTCAAGTCTGAAATTTAGGGTTTGATCACGATCATGAAAAAATATTTTCTGTTTCAAAACTAGTTTGATATTTTCCTTGCAATTGGAGTTAGAATAGGGAAAGAGAGATTATTTATGAATCTTTAAAGTGGTGCAGGGAGATTATTTATTTGCACTACAGGTCCAAATTTGGGAATAGAGTTAAAATGCTTGAATCCCACATTTACGCCAAACCTTACTCTGGCAAGTAATGTTGACTTTTTATTCATTGCACTGTACGTGATTTATCTGAATTTGCAATTCACTGGAGTTTCAAAGTGCAATCTGTGTTATTTTTTTCTAAAAAATATTACATTAAGTGATTTTTCATATTTCTTGTATATGTTGTATGCTCGTTGTTTTTCTGCCATTGGTATAAATCTTATTGAACGAAAGTATATATTTTTTTATCAAAAAATTATTTCAATTTTACAGGAAACTTTGGATTCGTGGAAAAATCAGACAATTTATGAAATGTCATAGGAAATCATCAAAGTTTATACTTCTTAGGATTAATCTTTGATAGAGTTGGATGAATGCCACATTATTTGAATTTGAACTTAAACATCAAGTTTTATTTATGTGACATGCATTTAGATCCGTTAATGTATACATTGTCAGTGTATAAAAGATTTACCCTCCAACTTAATTCGGTAATACTACAACTTATAGATTCAATGGATTTAATTTCTTAAGTCCTTATGTAGACCACATTTACCAAAGCAAGCAATGAAGTCCATCCTTAAATAATTAAACCAATTTCTTCTGGAAAATTGACGGGCTCATAGATTACTGTACTTGTTTATCATTTCCTTTGGATTTGCTAAACTCATCCTTGGATGATTAAAGATAATAAGCATTCTTTCCTTCTGCTAAGGAACATGGGAAATGGGACATGGATTAGACATCAGAAATTTATACCTAAATTTAATTAGAGCATACAAATTGATACTTAAAATTTCCGTGGCATCCACAAAAACCAAAAGTAGAATACCATGCAATTTTTATTTCAATTAGAGAACAATTCTCTTCTTTTTTTTTTTTTAAATTTTCTGAGGAGACGTCGACTATGGAAAATAATGAAAGGTATTTGATAGAAAGAAGCATATAACTGTAAGAGAAAAAACAAGGAGATTGAATATATTATCAAGGACTATGATCAATTGATGAAAGCCGTATTTTAATTTTTTTTGTTTGTAATTTTCATCACTAATAGTAATTAGTACCAATCAATTTACAATGTAGTTTATTTCAAAGGGATTTAAATACCATGCAGTAGTCTTTTAAGATAAGCCAGCATTTCCATGTTTTCTCTCTAGCCTTTGTGGACACATTTCTTTACTTTTTTTTTTTTTGATAAAACATAAGTCAATATTATTGATAATCTAGAGGGAAATTATCCAACATGATTTGCTTGACAAAGTAATCTGCACTAATGGCATAAAATACATTGATCATGTCATAAATATATTTGATTTGAAAAATTATAAAATTTAACAGAGTTACAAAATATAAAAAATTACACTGTGAATCACAAATCATCAAATCTGATCAATTGAACAAACCACTACGTAGATATCTGTGCATGTCTATTCCCTCAAATCTGTTATTCAACTGGTTCAAACTCAAAACTGATGTTGAGATCTGACGAGAATACCCAAGAAATTTTAGATCTAACATAGAGATCTGAAGAAATTCTAAAATCTGAGAAAATAAATAACAAAAAAAATAAAAACTAAACAAAACTCTCTTCAGAATAGCTTGGGAAAGAAGAAAACTCTCACCAGAGTAGTTTGGGAGAGAAGAAAACTCTCATTAGAATATGTTAAGAGAGACTTTATTAAATAAAAGTAAGAACAAAGAGAAGGGGAGAACAAAGGAAAAAGAAGGGAGAATTTGGATTAAAGCCAAGATCTTACATTTAGATCGTTACATTAGATCTTAGGAATATCCACTTCATGCATGTTCAGGTAACAATAATAACAAAACCGTGATTTGCTAATTATAATTTACGACAAACTTCAAAAACATTTAAATATCTAATTAATATAATGAATGTGCTCTTCCATAATTTGTAATCCACTGGATCGAGCACCTGAATTTAAACATTAGTAGAATAACAAATGCATGCAAAATTAAGAGCTTAAATAAATGAGTTTTCTATATTGTAAATTGAAACACATACCAAACTAATCAGATGATTATTGATGCACTGGCCTTGAAGAATAGAACTTCCTGCTGCTGGGTCATTTGTTGTTTTGTTAACTGCTAAGAAGCAAATTTCCACTTGATGGGAGCAGTCATTACTAGTTAAGGGGTCATCCCTCCTATGATACATTGAAATCAATTGATCGCACAGCTAAAGAACCTTTTCCAGTGCTGCTAAGACTATGAAATAGGGACGAAATTAATAAATGATAGGAAAAATAACACTTTGAATCCCAAAAGTATGAGGTTTGGACAATTTGCCTCCTAAAGTTTTATTGGTGAGAATTTCGTACGTAAATTTTTTTTTTTTAAGTGGGAGGTTTCGAACCTGGAACCCAATATATAAAATTAAAACTCTTTTAGTTCGATGCGATTGTAGTTGAACGCATGTTTTCAAGATAAGTTGCACTCTTGAACAATATTTGATCCTTAAAAAAGGATACATAAGGATCTTACCATAGACACTGATCTCATATATGTGCAATAATGGATTTTCAATCACAAAAATATTGGTCGAGATTTGTTCATCTTAAACTGTGGTTTAAAAAAAAACAGTAAAGGAAAGAAGTTTAGGATCCAGATTTATTAATTCCAACGACATGCATATTGTCAAAATCTCATGAATCTCTTTAAAAGGGCAAACTGGTTTGTCTGTAAATCACACGAAGAAAGAAGAAATTAGTTGAGAGAATTGTGAATAGACTTCTTTAACAAATCGATGATATTGCATAATTCTTCTCTGGAACCATACTTCTTGAATAAATCATCCAAAGAGTTATCAAGACGACATTTTGAGCATATGAAATGCGAACTTCAGACATTTCAGGGTTAGAAACATTGGAGGCAATTACCAAATAAGCAATATATAAGGCATGTCTGTAATCCTTCATTTGGTCAAGCCTATTTTCCTTAGACCATCTGCCTACGTATATAAAAAAGGAAAGACTAGGTGTTGGTACATTTGTGTTTTGTGTAATTTGGTCCTCTTATTGTACATGTATAAATTTTCAATCACATTATTATGTTATACTGAAATTATATAAAGTATTTTATTCATGTACAGTATTTTTTCTACGCGTACAATAATGCAATGTGATCGTACACCAAATGTTATAAAAAATACAATAATTGGATTGAATGGCAAACAACCTCAACCGCACCGGCACCCATTCCAAAAACCAAGAAGAAAGGTTGTCAGAACATCTAGCTGCAGTGAAACCTCTGAAACTCGAGGGTAGTCCTTGGTCAAAATTAAATTACCTCTCAAGTTTTTGAAGTTCTGCTTGGTTTTGAGCTTCACAATTATTAAAATCACATGTATTGACGAGTAATTGGAAATGGCTATTATCAAAGTTGGTGATCTAGATATCCAGAAAAGTACCAAGGATTATCTTAGTATTCCAGTAGTAGATCATTGAAAGAAAAACTGGGAAGCTGTTAAAGAATGATAAAGCCTTCTCCTATTGCCCACCTTCAAGTTTCAATGAATACATGGGATCCGATTATGCAGCCGTTGGTTTTGTACCATACGGCCCTTATTGGCGTGAGACACAAAAGATTGTTGTGCTTGAACTACTTTCAAATCAGAGGCTAGAAAGACTGAAGCATGCCAGGATATCTGAGATAGAAATTAGCATCAAAGATGTGTTCTATGGTTGGAAAAGCGATATGGCTAATGCTGCAGCAAAAGTTAATATCTACCAGTGATTCGAGGAATTGTTTTTTAGCATAATGGTGAAAAAAATTTCCGGCATGAGATACACTGAGTCTGAAATTTGCTTGAAAAGAATTGCTCAATGTAGAAGGCTGGTTAAAGAAATTGTACAATTTTCCGGGCAATTTGTTTTGTCAGATGCGGTTAAATTTCCATTTATTTAAATGGATTGACAAGCAGGGACGTTCTCATGTTCATCAAGCGTGTCTCTAAAGAGCTTGACAATCTTATTCAAATTTGAGTAGATGAACATAATGAAAGAAAGATGAAGATCAGTGAGTCGGAGGATGAGCAACAAGACTTCATTGATTGATTGCTTGCAGAAACTAAAGACAAGAACCTAATTCGGACACACAAGGGCCAGTAATCAAGGCCACACTAATGCTGATCCACTCTCTTCAATACTGTGTTTGGATAGAGATTTCTTATACTGTTTTTTTGTTTTTTCATTTTTCATTACTGATTTTATGGCGAACATGAATAATACATGTTTTGGGCGTTAAAATACAAATGGGAGGACTAGTTTGGTCAGATACCTATTTCTATGGCGTCTGCATTTTAAGTTTGTTGGATATGAGCAAATTGTCTTTTATTAGAGAGTTTGGTCAACTTGTTTCTCATTTTTGTCCAATTAACCAAGAAACTTGATTCAAGAGAGTTCAATTGTGACAATCTGAAAGAAGAGAAGTCAACAATTATCCTACAATTGTAGTAAAAACCTCGTAGCTAGGGTGAGTTTTACCAAGCCACTGGCCCTTTGGTCCAGTGGTCATCCCTTTCTTTGGGATGCTGGAGGGGTTTAACCCCTGCCTCCCACAACTTGCCACCCTACGTGGCTGGTCTTTGTCCCCACGGGGTAGCTCGAGCGGTCCGTTCCCCCTCCTTAGGGTATGGCGACCTTCCTGGCTTGTCCAGGGTTCGAGTTCCGCTGTTAACGTGTTCGGTGTGGAGTGGGGCCTCCTCTCCCGGGCTGCAGGGGATTAGTCGGGCCCCGTAAGGATTGACCCGGACACCCCTGTGTCAAAAAAAAAAAAGGGTGAGTTTTACGTACCATGCTTTGCCCTCTCGCAAGTGTATATGTGCATATACGACATGATGCTTTAGTGTGCGATACAAGTCTTATCTATTTATTATTTACTTTGAAACAAGTTTGAGATCTTACAATGATTGATAGGAAGAGTACAAATATATAGAGTATAGGTACATACAGTGCAAGGAAAATCAACATGGGTATGTGTAAGTTGTCACATTTACTAAATGGATTGGTGATTAGAAGCAAACTCTCTTGTCTGATATCAAGAGTTTAATCTATCTTCAGACTATACTGAAAGAATCAAAATGATTATATCTAATCCGCAAGCCCCTTTATCATTGCCTCGCCAAGCCTTGGAAGGCTGTCATGCTTTCCAAATCATGCACTTTATGGGTGGGAATTTAATGCATCAGACTTCAAGTATCCTTGTGGCAGAAAAAAAATATGTATTAATTTGAACAAAATCTTATGTATAAATACTTAAATAGTAATCAAACAGGGAAAAAAAAAAGAAGCTTTGAATCGATCACTTATGAGAAGGTAAAAGACATGCAAGCATAGCCCATCCTGATGCCTGCAGTGATTATCAAATTACTCGATATTGTTTGGTAGAAGATTAATAGGTCATGTATGACCGTCTTTATGTTTCTACTGGAGTAATTGACATATCCCTAGACGAGTGACAAAAATAAGGGAATTCCAGATAGGGATCCTTGGAACTAGGCTTTCTTTTCTTTGAAGAACCATTTCTTGCAGCTCTCTTCACTAGTACTATCTATCATTAACTTCGGGTAAATTACTAATAACTTGTAGTTGGTCATAGTACTATAGGACTCCTCTAATGTTTTAAAATATCTATATCATCCCCTTATACTTTTATGCAAAGTAAAATTTTGAAAGAAAATAGTCGCCATAATTTTTAGTTGAAATGCCAGTATTAACATGAGAAAAACTTTAGTGCATAAATAATTATATAATGATTGAATGCGGAGGAAAAGTGTTCCGATCGAGTTTATGAGAAGGTAAAAGACATGCAAGCATAGTCTATCCTAATGCTGATACGTTTATTATGCATTTGAATTGAATGATTGATGAAAGATTAAAATATTCGCATGTTCCTCTAAGTTGTTTGCAAAGTTTTTGAATTTGTAATCACCAATATATCACGTCAACGTTTACTTCACTGAAGCTTTCGTGATCTACGTTGATACCTGTGCCTAGCTACCATAATCCCCGGGAGGAGGGGGGGGGGGGCGCTGTTCAATACAATACAAAACACCCATGTCATTTGTTGTAGGATTCATCTTTTTGTTCAGTCTCAAGTTTGCCACTAAGACAGTAACTGTGTTTGGAGACCTTTATTCACCGAAGACAAACTTTACTAAAATTGATCAGAATTGAATGATCTAAAGAAAGAATATGGTTTAATGAAAGGTGACTTGGCTGTTTTGGTAAACTCAGCTAATTAAGCTAAGAAGAATTTGAGAATAAAATTTTGAAGAGCATGTGCCGCTTTGAACTTTCGTCTTTCATATTTCTAATTTAGTTTATATTTTGATTTTGCTATGACCAAAAATCTGGAAGATATTAACTTTCTGTGTGCAACCAACTACCTTTAGAGTAGTTGACCATCAGGTGCAGGTCAAGGGATTGAATCCCTTGACTTGCATTCATGCTCAGAATTTCTTAAAAGTTTCACTAGACACCCGTTCAGTCTAATAGTGATTTAGTCCCCTTCGAGTTCTCCCTCAATTCATTTGGGCCCACCCTCTCCCCCTGAGTATAAAGTAGGAGTAGGAGTAGGATAGGAAATCTATCGTGTAAAAAAAAAAAAAAAAAAAAAAACTTTCTGTGTGCATCGGGAATAAAGTTACTGAAGTTTGATATATTACCATTTTGGTTCCTACTTATTTTCGTTGTCCACTGATTTGGTTTCAAAAGTTTTGACAGAACTAGCTTAGTTCTTAATTCTCAATGTTGAACAATTTGTATTATCAAATTTGCAAGCCGATTCGGTCTTGCTGTGCTATGATACCCCTTGAGCTGATACATTGTTCTAATTCCATGATAAGTATGTGTGTGAAGCACAGATGCCTCCTCAGTTCATGGTCGATTAAATTTGTTGCTTATTATGTACGTGCAGATGTAATTGGTTTGTGTATATTTGGCTACACTTTCTTCAAGAAGCTAGATTGCTAATTGCTTTAGTGCATGATCGGCTATTTACGCATTTCACAATGACCAGGAATTGCTATCTAATTTTACCTACATTTATCTTAAGAATGAATCTTATATACACTGATAGTGTATATACCATCACCATTAGATTTATGATATATTTGCAAAAATTAGATTTTAAATTTAAATTTTACATAATTGTCATTTATCTAAAACTGACAGTATATAAATTGAGGAGGTGTTGGATATCAGTTTCCTCGATCTTTTTTTTGTCTTTTTCCCCTCTGAAAGCTTCCCTTGTTTCACTCTGAGCCTTAGCCATCACACCTGGATTTCTAGTCATCTCGGACACCGTCCACTCTATAGTGGTAAATGGATTGTCAATTACCCCAACAAGCATATCCTGCACCAAGTTCAATTACAAAATTCTTTGTTAAAACTAAAAAAGTAATGATAATAAAACAAAAACAAAATGGTTGAGCTACCACTTACGGGAATGACAGCTTTGATATTATGTTTGGTGATCGGAACTTGATATTTACAGCTTGCTTGAATTCTTAGCAGGACATCAACTAGCTCTTCATGGCCTAACTGACCAGTGGCTGCTTTTGTTCCTTCTAGTTTGTTAATATGCTGTTCAATAATGTTTTCCAAATATTTATCTTAGCTCACAGCGGATATTCAGAAGTTGAGTCTTCACAGACAATGGGGGGAGAAGAATAGTGGATGATGGAAACAGATCAGAAACATCGAAGCCACCTGTTAAGGGAACTATTTGTTTGAGTAGTTGCAAGAGGCTCGTCTTTGCTTACTTTCCCAAATGCTGCTCTGCAAACCACAGAACTCGTGTATGAAGACGCCAAAGTCTTGATCGATGAAATTAGGTGCAAAGCCTCATCTTGCCGAATAGATTCAAATGATCTGACATTTTTAGCGCTCAGAAGTTCCAAGGTGCATGCATATTTACGCATTTGTCTCCAAAAGCCACCATATTCACAGAGCACCATGTCTAAACAATTATAGTCTAAGATTTCTCCAGCTCGAAATTGAGTGCGATTTGCAAAGGCAAGATCATGAGTTTTCATGATCTCTTTTGCCAACCGTGGTGACGAGACCACAACTGAACAAATTTCACCTAGCTGAAGGTTCATTAGGGCTCGATGTTTTTGAGCTAATTTTCGGAGAGCATGATAGGTGGGAATCCTATCAAATGATGCAAGTGTCCTATAAAAGGTAGTTTCCATGGAGATGGTGGCAGTTTTTGGGCTACTTTTGGTCTCCTCAACCCCTCAAAACAAAGCATAGGAAAAGAAAGGAAGCAATGAAGTTGACAGGAACTTCCATTGGATGGTTTTCTTCTTGTACGCTCTCTTTACAGTTTGCGTTATCTGCTGTATATAGAAACTTAAACATATAATTAAGGATAGGGAAAATTCCACTTTTCATCCCCAAACTTTGTGGTGCAGCAAATTTAGTACATGAATTATCAATTTTTGGACACAACTAGTCCAGAAACGGTAAGTTTGATGAATTTACATGGAAAAGCCTCACGTGACCAGCACGCGATCATGATTGGCTTGTTAATACAGTTCTTTGTTAATGGAAATGGCGACAATTTGTTCAAATTGGCTTGTTAATATAGTTCTTTATATTTACAGTGCTTAATAGATCATCACAACTTGAATTTCTATTTTATTTATTACCGGCTCTTTTGGGCAATGGAATTTACTGTAATAATTGGATTTGTTTAGCTGGCCTGTTTTTGCCATGCTTTAGAAAATTAAAATACGTGTTTGGATAGAAGATTATTTGAAATTTTTTTTTTTGAATAAGATTGTAGTAGTTTTATTTTTGATATAATATATGAGATTGAAAATTGTGTGTGCGACATAAGCAAAACAGTTTTTGCAAAATTTTTTTTCTCAAGCATGCTATCCAAACAGAGCCTTGTCCATTGGGAGGGTATGTTTTTCGAGTGTTTGTCCAAAACTTTATAGCTAACTTATTGTTGCTGTTTTAGAAGAATGTTGATGTTTGTTCAAAACACGCAAAACATCCTCTATTTTTTCAAAATACCATCTTCCTCATCCCTTGTCACCCGCCACCAGCCACCACTACCCAACTCCGCCACTAGTAACCTACTTAATGTAATTTGTACTTGATATTTCTCTAAAACTTGTAGGTGTTTTAGAGTATTACTGTAGATTGTGTTTTAAACAGACTATGGTCTTGCAGGTTTGTGTTTTATTGCGCCCAACTTGTACCAAACAGCTTGTGTTACTCGTTTTGTACCGTTTTAGAGTGTGACTTTTTTTTTTCCCTCTCTTCTTCCGGATTTGTTTATAACATATTGTCACACCGGAAGGTGCATCCTCGTTAGCTATTTCTACTCTTCCATTAGACAAAACTTTCCCAAAATGCTTAAGATACCATCTAAATATTGGAAAACCATTAAACAAAGAAATAGATAAAGGGTCAGTCTGTGGCTGTTGTAAGAGGGGAAAAAAAAGGCTGGAATATGAGAAATGTCTCTAAATTGGAAAATTAACACGGTGCCTAATTTAAGATCTCTCCTGCAAAAAATTCAATTATAGCTGTGCAAAGAAGCAAACTTTGGGCATCAAAATCGACCGCTAAGTTGAGGAACTAATTCCATACGTTGTCTTGATCGTCTGTTTGACCCAGAAAACTGCCTATGAAAATATGCACAAAAAAATATTTTTTTTTATGGCTTCCTGGTCTCACAGTTGTCAATTTTGATCATTCAGATTTATGCCTTCTAGCGTGTGTTAGGGGAGTGTAACAGTCGTGGGTGAATGAATTAGAATTCGAAGGCGCCAAAGTTGTATTTGAAGCCACAGATATAAATGGTCATCTTAGGTATAAAATATTAACCAAAGTTTGTTTGACGAGTCATGAGTGTGCCTCGTTAAGAAGTATTAAATTTTTAAAAAAGTAAATTTAATTAAGGAAAATGTATAAATTTTAAAAAATAATTATTAGAGTGTACATTTAACTCGGCCGGCATGGCGATGCCATAGCACCTACTTTAAGGCTTCCAATAAATGTTAACATGAAGTTGAAGGCATGATCTAGATTTGTTTGCAGGATAAATTGATGTAGTGAAGTGTACAAATAAACTGGTCCAATTGATTGATTAACTACAGTATTTAAAATCACATAAGATATTTGGACGTGATTAGTTAATTATTAGTGATGGGTAAAAATTGTATAAAATGGTGCCTTGTCAAGCAAATTCGTCAAACAAAGCAAAGTTATTGTACATACTAACCAATAAATAAAGACATATATGAGGTCATTATAACTCAACACTTTAACATAATTTTTTTGACATGCAACCTGCATTTTTCTACTTACACTATAAACAATAATAAAAAATGCATTTTACTTTGAATTTTGCTTGTTTATATTGCCGTTAAGTAACTAATACTGATAAAACTTTACCATCTTTTTCGGTTTTTCACTTGTCATGCAAATCTTGACTTTTATCTTTTATCAAGTATTCATATTTATCATGTAAGACTTGATTTCTATCAAGTATTCATATTTATCATGTAAGACTTGATTTCTATCAAGTATTCATATTCTCTGATAATTAGGCGAAAATAAGTTTAAATTACATTACATTACATATCCCGTAAATATTGAAGGAAAAGTAAGAATATTTTTTGGGATTATTTTCATGTTAAGCTATTATTTATTTTTACTTAAATTACATTGTGTTTGAAAAAAGAACTTGATGAGTAAAATTTTAAAAATAAAAAAATATAAGAGCATGTAGAATTAGTATACGAGAAATTATTAAATCCAAGGCCAATTTTATGAATTATGAAAACTTGTTGAACTAATGTGAGAGAGAGAAAGAAATAGAGAAGAATGTGAATGAGTAGGAAAAAGCCTTAATCGGAGAGAGAATAAGAGGATTAATTAGTAATCTAAAGAAAATCAAGAAAAATATATGGAAGTTGACTGATTGAAAATAATATTGGTATTTGAGAAAAAATTGCTCTAACAGAACTATTACTGCACTAAAAATACTTAATATTGTATACCATTATAATGTTCCGCTTGTAAAAACATACTTAAATTTAGATAAAGCTATGAAGAAAAAAATAAAGACAAAAAAGCAATTACCCTAGTAGGAAATCAAGAAAGTAACTTGTAAAAGCATAACAGCTTACGAGGACTAAGTTACTAAATTAAAAGCATTATATGGACAATATTTTGCGTATCGCAAATGGAAATAATGATTCCAGTAAAGTTTCAAAGTATCAAGGGAAGATACAATAAGGTGTAAGAAAACATTTCTTTTTCCCATACACAGGGGAGGATGCCACCCTTATATTTTATTAAAATAAAATTAAAAAATGTAGGGAGACATAAATCTTACTGCCAAAACACAATGGCAAATTTACAAAAAATAAATAAGGAATATTACTCCCTTACACCATTAAAAGCAATACATTTCCTAAATGATGAAACTTGTAACTTATCCATTCTAATAGCACCGCCACCCATGTAATAATTGTGCGTCCCAAATATTTTTGTTCCCTTTCTTTGACTTAATCGTGTTTCTATGATTACTTAGCAAGGAAACCTAGGGCTACCTTTGCAAACATATACACTGAATCACTTACTTTTTATTAATTCTTTGTTTTTGGTTACTCTAAATCTTACCAGAGGTGAGACAGAAAGGGGCGGATTTGAGAGTTGAACCAAAGACTTCATAGTTTACTATTTAATGTCCCCACTAATTAAACTTAGTTTTAGTTATATGGAAAAAAAAAACAAAGTTTAATACATTTAAGAGATTCTCATTATATAATTCTACTGTGTTAATGCTAATCTAAGTTCTCAGTTCAATCCAGCAAAGGAAACACATGGGTTCAAAATATTTTACCAGTTGCACCTAGATCATATGCCGATGCATTTAAATCCTGCAACTTTGCAACATTTAAAAATGATTATAAGAATTAGTTAGAATTCACTTAAACTTAGAAGGTTCCAATCAGATTACAAAAATTCTTTAGAATCACAAATGACAATGATTACTAAAAAAATTATTGCATATTGCATATTGATCAAATTTACGAAATTAAAGCATCTGATTGTGAAACTTGCACTTGAATAATCAACCTCGTTCTTCTCTTTCTACTAATTGTTCAATGAAACTAGAGCTGCAAACGAACCGAGTCGCTTGCGAGCGGCTCGAGTCAAGCTTGACTCGAGCTCGAGCTGGCTCGAGTCGAAATTGAGCTCGAACTCGAGCTCAAGATATTAAGTTCCGGCTCGCGAGTTCGAGTGTATATATATATATATATATATTATTTTTTTATTTTAAGTATATATATTTTTTATTTTTTATTTTAATAGTAAAATTATATATATCCTTAATATTTTATTATTTATTAAGAAAAAAAATATTATTTTATTTATTTTTTAAAAAATAAAATATAATTATTTTTTATTTTTTTCGAGTTCGAACTCGCTCGAATCAAGTCGAGCTCGAGCTCGAGCTTGAAATTGTCGGCTCGTCGAGCTCGAGCTCGAATTCGAGTTCACTAAAATTATGTCAAGACTCGGCTCGATTAGGCCAAAACTCAATTCGACTCGGCTCGTTTGCAGCCCTAAATGGAACTTATTCACAGGCAATAAACAAAACGATTTTAGCTTCCAAGATTGAAGAAATAATAAAAAAAAAGGTGTTGGGAAAAAAAAAAACAAAGCAAACCCCTGCCAGCTGCACCCATTACTTCTCAATGTTCTCATGCACAGCCTAGGTTTAAGGAGAAACCCATGTGATCTGTCATGTGACAACACCCTTCTTTGATCACCAAACACGGGCTAAAATTCATCACCCTCATTATAAAATTGGAAGATTGTCATCCATGATAGTAATTTTTTTAGTATGTGGTAGCGTAACTAATAAATTTCCTCGAAAAGGGAAACTACTCTTCTTGTCCTCTTCTTGTTTAACGAGCATTTATCCTTCTGTTATGGCATCCCTATCTAGTCAATCAAGATTCAAGAACATGTGGTCTCTTATATCAATTTAGATATGGATCCATATCCGTCGAAAAGATATATTTTCATACTTGAATCGGACATCGATTCGGTCGAACTTAGGGTCAGAGGTTAATGAATTCAACCAGATATCATAAATACATCATTCACACACACAAATATAAATATATCATTCTTTTTCCTGCAAATAAAATCTACAAAATATAACTAAGAACCTAGTGATCCAAATCCATATCCAATCCACCAAATTCATCCAAACTTAGAAAATTCACAAAATAGAAATCTCATACATTTTAACTTTGAAGTGTTCGTCAATTTGTTTGTCTATTTTTTTCGCATTTTCCCTCTTTTTTTGAAGTTTTATTTGGTCAACAAGTCCAAAGGTCTAACTGGTCAAAGATAAAAAAGAAAAAGTAGAAAAGGGCGAAAAAAGAAAACCCGATTTGGTTCGGTTCTTCTGGTTCCGATCAAACCCGATCAAAAATTGAGTTTGACCAAGTTTTAAATCATCTGACTTTATGAGGTGATTCAGACCGGCTGTGTGGCCAGCTCTCGATTTGATTGATTGGTCTGATCTGAGTCTGAAAACAATGTCGAAAAGAGAGCCTTACTTGAAATATTTTCATTGCCTTCCCTAAAATTTGAAATGATTCTTAAACTACTTCATTTAATCCAAAATTTTCTACACAAAAATAGAATGATTTATACATTTTACACTAAAAATTTAATTAACAGATTTAATGGGTTCATATTGTTTTTAAACTTCCTTTATCTTTAAACTAGTAATATAATGCGGCATTGCTCGTTAACTTTTCAACATTCGATAGTTCATTAAAGTATATAATTTCTTATGTTTTATTACTTTCTTTTCAAGATTTATGTATGATTAAAGTAGAGTATGTAATTTTAGACCGGATGAAGGTGTATGGTTTGGCTTGTCAAAAATCAAAGACGTAAAAGAAGTGTAAGCAGTTCAATCTTCATAGAACTTTGGGTCGTCTACTCTGCGAAGAAAATCAGAATGGATCTCCTCCCACATCTCCTAGCACTTTCAGGGCTTTTAGCTTTGTTTTTACTCTACAAACAATGGAGACCAAGGGTTAATGCCAATCCAAGAAGCAAGGCCGTATCACCCCCAGAAGCCGCAGGTGGCTGGCCTGTCATAGGCCACCTTCTTCAACTGAGTCCCAATGTCCCAATTGCAAGAAATTTAGGAGCCATGGCTGATAAATACGGTCCTGTCTTCAGCCTTCGTCTAGGAATGAGGCAAACTCTGGTGGTAAGCAGCTGGGAAGCTGTTAAAGAATGCTTTACCACAAATGACAAGGCCTTTTCTTATCGACCACCTTCTAGTTTCAATGAATACGTTGGATACAATTATGCAGCCATCGGATTTGCACCATACGGTCCTTATTGGCGCGAGATAAGAAAGATTGTTATGCTTGAACTGCTTTCGAATCGGAGGCTTGAAAGACTCAAGCATGTGAGGATATCTGAGATAGAAAAAAACATCAAAGTTTTGTTCGATGGTTGGATAAGTAGCAGCAATGATCCTCCAGCAAAAGTGAATATGGGGAAGTGGTTTGAGGATCTGTTCTTGAACATAATGGTGAGGAAGATTTCTGGGACGAGATATACTGACTCTGAAGTGGGCTAAAAAAGAAATGCTCAATTTAGAAGAGTCGTTAAGGAATTTGTACATTTTTTGGGACAATTTGTTGTGTCGGATGTGATTCCATTTCCACTATTGAAGTGGATTGATATGCAGGGACATCTGAAGTCCATCAAGCGTGTCTCTAAAGAGCTTGACAGTATCATTCAGATTTGGATTGATGAGCATAATGAAAGAAGGATGAAGATTAGTGAGCAAGGGGATGAGCAACAAGACTTCATTGATGCATTGCTTTCAGTAACTAAAGATGAGTACTTATTTGGACACTCGAGGGAGACAGTGATCAAGGCCACACTAATGGTAATCCACTCTCTTCAATACTGCCTTTGCACTCTAGCTATTAGAGATTTTCTATAGTATATTTCGTTTTGTAAATTTTTTTTTGTTTTTTCTGGTACTGATTCCTGCCTGAATAAAAGCATTAACTGTTTTAGAAATCTAAAGTATGAATGGGAGGACATTTTGGCTAGGTACTTATTTCTAGGGTGCCTGGACCTAGATTAGTGATATGAGCAAAGTGTTTTATGTTTGAGAGTTTGGTCAACTTGTTTCTCTAATTTATTCCAATGTACCAAGAAGCTTGATTGAAGAGAGTACACTCTATCGTAGAAACATCTTTGAGTGAGTTTTACTATGCTTTGCCCTCTGGCAAAGGATATCCAATATAATGCATCAGTATAGAATACAAGATTTATTTGAGAGTGTAAAATTAAGAGTCTAATCAAAGTGAATAATCCAGTATTCACGGTTTTTTTTTTTTTTTTTTTTGTAGCGAGCTTGAAGTTGAGTTCAAATTTAATTCATTTATTTATCGAGTCAAACACAAAAATTCTGTCGAGCTGACTCAAGTTGAGCATGAATGACTAAGATTTTTTGTACACAAATTTCAAGTTTTAAGCTAATCGTGCCAAGTTCTAATTGAGCTTGTAAAGGATATCACCACTCTTATAACCATTAGGTATCTCGAAGTCATACCTAGGGTATCTACGATTCTGATAACCAATCTTATAACCATCAGTCATTCCTAAGTCATCCCTAAGAATGACAATACCTACGTCTCAAAATGTTCAATTATTGGTAATGGTATGTTTCTAGTTATTGATCTTTCTATAACTACCACATGGTTCTGTGATTAAAAGTAAACGCATTAGCGTTTAGGATCAACTCGTTAACGTTTCACTTGGGTCTTTCATCTTGCAGAGTCTTGTAATAGCAGCATTTGAAACCACATCAATTCACTTAACATGGACCTTATCCTTGCTCTTGAACAATAAGCATGTTATGAGGCAAGCGCAGGAAGAGATAGATTCAAATGTTGGCAAAGAGAGGTGGGCAGAAGAATCTGATATCAATAATTTAGTATATCTTCAAGCTATAGTGAAAGAATCAATACGATTATATCCTCCAGCCCCTCTATCATTGCCACGCCAAGCCATGGAAGACTGTAATGTGAGTGGTTACCACATTTCCAAGGGGACACAGTTATTTGTGAATGTGTGGAAGCTACAACGAGATCCAAGAATTTGGTCAGAGCCAGATCAGTTTCTGCCGGAGAGATTCTTGAACGGTGAAGTCGATTTTTCTGGAAAGAATTTTGAGTTCAGCTTCACCCCTTTTGGCTCTGGTAGACGATCTTGTCCTGGAATACCATTGGCAACACAAGTGACACACCTGACACTAGCTCGGCTGCTTCAAGGTTTTGATTTGACCACACCATCAGACTTGCCTGTGGACATGACTGAAGACACAAGTATTAGCATGGGTAAGGCCACTCCTTTGGAAGTAGTAATCTTGCCCCGCCTTCCAAATCATGACCTTTATGGATAGGAAGTTAATGAATCAGAACTTCAAATTATGCTTGTGCCGGAGAAACAATATGTATTGAGTTTTGACAAACTCTTATTGTATAAACAATTGATTAATAAATGTCTGTTAGATTTAGAAATGCAAGCATAAATTAAGGAACCCTGATGACTATTCTTTTAGAGCCTTTTAGAGTTTTCAATTCTGAGATCTAACTGAAATCATTCGATATTGTTCGATAGAAGATTGATACGCTCATGTGTAACTGTATTTATGTGATTAAGCATTTCCATTGGGTGCTTAGCTCATCCCTACAAGACGAGCGACAAAAACAGGGGATTTCTGTAGTAGTCCAGAAGAGATCCTAGCGTACTTTTAGAACTACGCTTTCTTTTCTTTGAAGAGCCCTCTGTTGCAGCTGTTTTCGGCTACTTTTCTATCATTTCTTTGATCTTTTTTTTTTTTTGACCTCTACTCAGTACCACCTCCTTCACCATGAACTAGTTGCAGGAATGCAGTGCCATTTCGCTTTCTTTTCCAGCCTTCCCTCTTTAGAAATATGGGTAAGATAAGGATTATTTTCGCCACATCAAATTGCATTGAAAAGAAAATAGGGATTCGTCAGCATTTGTTATTTAAAAATGGTTCATCTCTGGTTGATGCTAAATATTGAGAGACGTTCAAGTAGAGAAAAAGCAGAACTAATTGTGATGCCGTGAGACTTCAAATGAGAGAGCATCCCAACTTGAGTGTGCTGTGAACTAGATTTTCGAGACAACAATTTAGGAGAATCTGTAAGAAGAAAGGGTAGAGAAAGAGGGAGAACAGAGATAAGAAAAATAATGAAAGGAATTTTATTCATCAACAATCAGCCATTGCTAAGAACAAAATCGAAGACTAATGGTCTGTTTGATAACATAAAAAAGTGCTGAATCTGAATCTTTTCAGACATTCAGATGTTTTGAGTGTTTGATAAATAAAAATCTATTCGCTGAACTTGTTAAGCAGTGCTGAACCTGTGTGTATTTTTTTCAGCACAAGAATCCTAACTGAATGCTTAATTCTGATAAGAATCAATAGAATTATTTCAACTACCTTATCTTATCTACCAAATCTACCCTTGTTTGTTAATTATGTTCAAAATTCTTATCTAATTAAACAACCTAATATTCTCTATCTAATGATTTTTAGTTTTTATTTTCTCCCTTTTAATGACTTTCACATCTTCTCCATACTTCTCATATAATATATTTCATCTTTTATATTAATTTGATTTAAAAATAAATATTGTCATTTTCATACCTTACAATTTTAAACTAATTAAATCATAGATTCTATTTCTTTTTTGAATGAAAGGATATAAGGGCACAATTGTCAAATTAAACTTATTAAGCATTCAGCTATAAATATTTATCAAACAGTATAAATAGCTTTAGCATTAAAATTTAGACATTCATATATTTTTTTCAGTGCTTAAAATTCAGCAAATTAATTGTTTCAGTATTCAGATTTCAGAATTCAGACTTCAGAATTCAGATTCAGTTTTATCAAACGGAACCTAAGTGAGAAATATGAGAGAGCAGAAGAAGGAAGGATAAAAAATCAGAATTAAGAAGAGTAAGTGCATGTTTGATAACATAAAAAAGTGCTGAAACTGAATTCATTCAGACATTCAGATGTTGTGGGTGTTTGATAAATAAAAATTCACCTGCTGAACTTATTAAGTGGTGCTGAATTTGTATGTATTTTTTTCAGCACAAGAATCGCAGCTGAATGCTTAATTTGATAAGAATCAAGAGATTTACTTCAACTATTTTATCTTATCTACCAAATATATCCCTGTTTGTTAATTACATTCAAAATCCTTATCTAATTAAACAACCTAATATTCCTTATTCAAAATCTTTATCTAATTAAATAAAACAACCTGATATTCTCTATTCAAAATTTTTTTTTAACAATAGTATTTTTTTTGCAGTAATTTTCATCCGCAAACATTTATATTTTGATATATATATTTTTTGTACAGATAAATATTATTTATGTGATGCAGCTTATCCACACACACGTGGCTTTATGACACTATATCGAAATATTAGATATTGGTTGTCTGATTTTCGAATGCTTCTCGTTCAAGATCAAAAGAAGAACGCTTTAACCAAGCACATGCAAGATTGAGAAATGTAATTGAACGTGCTTTTAGAGTATTAAAAACTCGTTTTCCCATTTTGAAAACGATGAAACCATACCCTTTTCCCACACAAAGAAACATTGTCATTGTATGCATTGCTCTTCACAATCATTGTCATTTTCATACCTAACAATTTTAAGTTAATTAAATCATAGGTTTTATTTCCTTTTTGGATTAAAAGATAGAAGGGCAAAATTGTACAATCTAGCTTATTAAGCATTAAATTATGAATATTTATCAAACAGTATAAATAGATTCAGCATTAACATTCAGACATTCATATATCTCTTTTCAGTGCTTAAAATTCAGCAAATTAATTATTTCAATATTTAGAATTCAGAATTCAGAATTCAGATTCAGTGTTATCAAACGGAGCCTAGGGGTTGATAGAGAATCGGAGAAGCAGATTTGGGGAGTTAAAAAAATGAGAAATAAGAAAGAATAAAAAATAGAATAGAGGGAGGAAAGAAGAATCTGATATAGAATAGAAAGAGGAAAGAAACAAAGAAACAAAGAGGAAGAAAAAATATCCAATTGATAGTTAAAGGTAGTCCAAGAAAAGACTGCCTTGATACCAATTATCAAGAACTAGGCTTCAAGAAGGAGATGAAGGAGACGGGTTGAAGATAAAGAAGGAATAGAAAGAATTGAGGGAAGTGACTTCTCTCAGTCCAGTTCCTCTCTCTCTCACTCATTTCTTCCCTCAATTATTTATTTTCCTCCATCTTATTAGAGGATGAAAGGATTGTGGTTAACATGGGGTTTAGCACAAAGTGAAAATGATTAGGAGCAATTGATATCGTAGAATGTACTTAAGCTGAATAAACATAGAGTTAATTGATTGAAATACTTTGGAAGTTTGCAACTCATGTTGGCATAGGGAAATGTAATGGAAAATAGGTGCTTCATATTTTAATGTTATTGGAGAAAGGATAGAAAAACTTGGAAGGGATAATTTGCAGGAAGTAGTATGAAATTGCAATTTGTGCATTTAGAGTGATATCTTTCATTAAACTTGGAGGATGACTTTATGATTTTGAGAATTTTTGTGGGTTAAGTTTTGAGGACGAAACTTTTATGAGGAAGGGATAACGAGATACCCAAGTCCTGAGTTGGGAGTTTTAAGAGAAAATCAAAGAAATTAGAGATGAAACTTGAAGACATAGAAATTGAGGGACTCATATAGCAAATAAATACAAGTTCTCTCCCATTTTTATCTTCTTTCCTTTTATCTTTTCTTCTTTTTGCTTTCTTCCCCCTTCATTTTTCTCCTCAAAGACACCAAAATTTAGAGGTTTAATTTGCCATCACCGGAGCACTGGCACTATGCACGCGCCCCACCATCTGATTGCCCATGACCTCAAACACCTCCTCATCGAATTTCATGGTTTTTGGTCATCGGAGATGCCGGCAGTTGCCGGTCAAAGGTTTGGCGGGTACTATTCACTGCAGTTTAATATTTTCAACTTTTCTCCCAAAATATTTGAATTTTTGAAAACTAAAAATATCTCTTTGTTCATCTTCTTATGGCTATCTTCAGTTACATTTTCATGATTTTTGGATGGAAGATGAATTTTTGAAAATTAGTCAAACTTTTCTGTTTTCTTGGAATTTCGGGCTTTGATTATATTAGCCTAAATTTAGTTTATTGGAGATTTATTTAGCTTCTTAAGACTACTAAACATTGGTATTCATGATTAGTTTCATTTGAGTTTGTTGGGCTATAAATGAAATGGAATTGAAAAGGTTAATGGAGACTTTTATAGGCTTTTAATGTTATTTCAAATTTAGTTTAGTTATTTTGACTATACATGAAGTAAATGTACTTGTGGGTAGTATAATTAGCTATTAAATTTGTGTATGTCATTTTGGATCATGGATGATGATTTTATGTAGGATAATCTCTTATTATTTAGTAAATTAGGCAATAGAACATCTTAGCACACATATTGTTATCTTAGATAAGTATAATAGTTGGTAACCGACTGTTGGATGATTTTAGAATCTTTGTCAAGGATTTGTCAATATTAGGAAAGATAAGGAAATGATCTTTATTAGCAATTAGTGGTTAAGAGTAGTATTAGACTCCTTTTTATGATAATTAAGAGTAGCTTGGTATTTTTAAGATTGTGATTGAGTATTTTATTATTATGTCTAGGCGATAAAGGTAGCCATTATTCTGAATACTTGAACTAGTGTGGGTATCCGTTGGACCGAGATAAGTGGTGCATGTATTCTTTATTTTTGAAAGATGATTTTTGAAAGCTACTTGTTTAATTGCTAAAGTGGCATGAGCATGTATAATTTGTGATATTTGTTATTACTCTTGCCATGGTCATTTGTGAGATGAAATGCTATGTTTGTTGAGCTCTTGTATAAGCGACTTTTGACGGGACTAGTTCCTCACATATAGTTGGCATATGAAACGAGCTAACCGTGTTGTAGTTAGCATTATAAAACGGACTAACCGTGTGGTAGTTAGCACTATGAACCGTGTTAACTGATTAAGTTAGCAACTGGATATCCGAAATCAATTGTTGTCTTATGGTTTGAGCTCGTTTATGTTATGATGTATGATGTGCCATTGAAATGTTTATAATAACCATGTTCTTATAAAGTTATATGTATAAGTTAATGATATTTGAAATGTACCATATATGTAACATGCTCAGGTCAATAATGAGATACATGCGCTACTTATTGAGTGAGATTTCGCTCACTCTTTGTTGTTATTATGCAGTTAATGATGAGTTCATTGAGGTGGATCTTGATAACTCGTGGGGGGTGGTAATGGAGATGGAGATGTCTTTTGGCTAGAGAATGACTTTTGCAC